GTGACACTGAAGACTGGAGTAATGATGCTGAACATTCAGCTTTGATAACGGCAATAAATTACAGTTTACAATATATTCCGATACAAAACAGTTATTTTAAATTGTAATAATATTTTACTATTTTTACTGTGTTTTTGATCAAATAAACGCAGCCTTGGAGAGCAGAAGAGACCTTTTTCAAAAACATAAAAAAAATTTTTTTTTAAAATTCTGAACAGTAGTGTACATGTATTGATTTAGCAGAGTCTTTGAGGAAAAACACTGGTAGACCACCTTGGACCAGGAACACACCAGCAAACATTTTCTAAAAAACACTATGACCACTTTAAACTGTCTGACCTAATAAACAGACAAAGCGTGAAATGTAACTATGACACATCAGTTTGTCACCAACGAGAAGCATTGAGCTGAGCCATGATTCTTAACAAGATGAAGTATTATTAATATTCATGCATTAATGCAGACTTTCAGTGGGTATGTCATGTCTTGCGTCCCCGATCATGCAGCATCTTGGTCACGAACAGGGGAAAACGGGAGAGGAAGTTAATGGAATCAATGCTTCTCCCTAGGTGATAAAAGCATCATGGAAAGTAAGGTGTGAAAGGGGATAGTGGCTCTTGGGAGAGACATGTTGACAGGTCTGTCCTTTCCATGTCCCTGTAGAGACGATGATGGGGTGATGAGCAGCTATGAAAGGTTAAATGGACTCTGACTGTTAGTGTGAAGTCGAGAATGTCAGACTGTCAAAATAAAATCAGTTTCTGTATTAAAGGGGTCATATGATGCGATTTCAAGTTTTCCTTTCTCTTTGGAGTGTTACAAGCTGTTCGTGAATAGATAAGATCCCTGAAGTTGCAAAGACTAAAGTCTCAAACCCAAAGAGATATTCTTTATCAAAGTTAAGACTCTGCCACACCCCCCTAAAACGGCTCATTCTAACACGCCCCCACATATCTACCTCACTATGTGGGAATGATCTTTAAAAAAGCATCATATCACCCCTTTAAATCATTCAAAACCAACATTCATCTTAAAGTAAGTTATGCATTCAAGTTATGCATTCAAATTAATTCAATTTAAAGTTATGCATTCAAGTTATGAATTAAATTTATTTAAATTGAAGTTATGCATTCAGTTTAAAGTTCTGCATTCAAGTTCTGCATTAAATTACAATTGAATTGTAATTGAAAAACAAATGCTAAAGCTCCTTTTTAAATCTGCCATTTGCCATTATTTTAGCTATTCTTCGCTGCATAAGCTGCATTAAATTACTGTTAACTATTAGCTAGATATTAGCAAAGCTGCATTATCTACAACAGTAGCCTAAGTATAACTAAATAAATAAATATCTGGCTATTAGTTTTGAATTAACTAATAGCTCACACGGCCAAATGGGTCAATTTTGATTTTCACACTGAAACTCCTTTCCTCTTTAAATGGCACTTAAAATAAATAGTTAAATGCAAAGGACTAATCAGTGTCAAATATAACCCTGCACAAATGAAGGAAATTGAGCTCTTCTGCTTGATAGGTCTTTGGTGACACGGCACGGCGGATGATTATCTATTTCCCAATAGAACGAGCTGGCTAACATGATTTATTGTCATTTGAGCTGAGCTGTAATTGGCTCATTCGCTATGGCTGGAAAGCCCATGAATGTGCAGGACACAATCGCAGCTTTCACCCACAGGCTGCGGCTCATTATTCAGCTTAGTTAAAGGAAAGAAACGAATTTCTGCATGGCAAGAGGTGGAGCAGCTGTTTTCCAGAGCTGGGTAACACAATCCTGTCAGGACTATGCAGATGTGCAGACATGCAAAAAAAAAGCAGTCTGACAGACGCGGACACCTTCTCAGTCATACACGGATGACATTGTGCAAAATAAGTTGAGGTATCATTTGCTTGTTCCATTCCCAGACACGCTGAGGTGTTTTAATGAAGAGCGGTGGGACTGCGCTGTGAGGAGAGGATCCCGTCTCGCCTCTCTCAGCATCACGGCTCCTCAGAGGGGAACAGCTGCACCTCACCCTGTCTATTCTCACATGACAAATCACAGGCCAATGACAGGAGAACATTCTCACACCTCAATCCTTGCCACAAGTGTTTTTCCTTTCAAAAAGTGTAACAAACACCATGCTTCACAAAACCTACGATCCCTAAATCGTCAGACCAACATCCAATACTTACAATGCACACGATTTTTAATAATTTACACTGCAAAAAAATGACATTTTAAATTTCTAATTAGTATTTTATAGTCATTTTGCAAAGTTCACCCCCCAAAAAATGAAAATTCTGTAATTTACTCACCCTCATATGGAACACAAAAGAAGATAATTTGAAGAATGTTGGTAACCAATAAGCTGACGGTAGCCATTGACTTCCATAATATTTTTTTCCATGCCATGGAAGTCAATGGATACTGTCAACTGTCACCAACATTCTTCAAAATATCTTCCTTTTGTGCTCAACAGAAGAAAGAAACTCATACAGGTTTGGAACACTGGTATGTTGAAGATCCTATCTATGAAAATACTTAGGGCCAGATTTACTAAAGAGGGCAAATTAGTGTGAGATTGCAATCCCATAAAAGCGCAGATGGGAGTGGAAGGTTTTGTAGTTGATCTGAAAGGGAAACTCCTACAAATGCATATGCAATAAACTCAGCCGCAAAAATAACTCTGTCCATGCCAGAGTTCCAAAAGCACCAACACAACCTTTGTTGACATCAGCTAAAGAGGAAAGATGCTTCAGAGGCAGAGCAAGATTATAAACAATAACAATTTGGAATAACATACACTGATGAATCATCCTGAATAGAATCTGGAATGAAAGGTCAATTTAGATTTCATGTTGAGTTTAACAAACAAGAATCAACCTTGTTTTTCATGCAAAATGACAAAGCTTACCTCTCCCATAGAAATATTTGTGGTAATAATACGCTCCCAGGTCGATGTGCTCGATGATGTACCGCTTGACCTTTTCCCGGTGGATTGGCTGGCTTTCTCGTGGCACCTCCAGTACAGACACGCCAGCGTTGGTACAGTGGGAGCTCAAGGAGGACTCGAACGAGCAGTTTTCTACTCCAGTGCTGTAGGTGGCGTTGTTGGCCCTGGATAGAGATATCTTCCTCTCCCCTTCTCCACCAATCTCATTGCGAAAATGCGGGCAACTTAGCACCAATCCATTGCTCTTCCCATCCCCCTCATCCGTATCCAGGTTCTCCTTGGGATTGAGGTCTTCCCGACTTCCTAGCGGCGATTCGAACATAGATACAGGTCCAGTTGTATTCCCACCCACTTGTCCACCTCCTGGGACTTGGTATTGGGAGGCGGCAGAAGCTCCGGTGGTGGTGTTCTTCCTCTGGCTGAGGCTTACGCGATTGGCCACCGCTTCGCTGATGTTGAAGAGGACGCTCTGGACGTCATAGTGAGCGAAGCACTTCTGGAAGCTGAGCGGCCGGCGGTCGTCTTGCTCGGTGGAGAGCCGCAGACCGTCGTTCTCGCTCTTAATAGTCCTCAACTTCCTGAAAAGCGACGTCTCAGATGATTCCGACTTGAGATGGCACATAAAGGACTTCTCCCTTTCTCGGCTGTAGAGGAGGGAGCTATCTACGTAGTCGTAGCCGGAGATGCAGACGATCTCGCCGCGGGCTATCTGAGTAGCGGTCTGCAAGCTTGGGGAGAGGGTTGTGTCGTATCGAAGGAGCTCTGGGAAGCCGGCAGGTGGGGCGCTGCGATGGTCCAAGTTGTCAATCCGATATCCTCGCAACATAGTAAAGAACCCATCGTTTCCAAGACCCTGCCGGTCAATTGAGGATGTACTGCCGTACTCCCGATGCAACGAGGCGCCGGTGTTGGGGTTGACGGCATTCTGGTCCATTATGTCCTCCGCATCGATGTCGCTGATGGTCACGTCACTGTTACTCCGTTGGCGAATGGGATGGAGTCCCTTCAAAGGGGATCGACTCAAAAAGTCACTCAGGGAATATTTTGTATCCGAATAATCAGGCTCCAATGGTGCTTCACCCAAATCCGTGATCTCCACAGTCTGGTCTGGCTGTCCATTCTGAAAGGCCGTAATGACGGTCTCGTAGTTGGGTCCGCCTCGGCTTTCCCAACCCTCCTTTTTCGGGGGCCAGTCCGTCACCCTGGCCCGCACCCCCATTTTAGGCATAGCAGGCATCCCGTTTGTTTTGCCACCCCCTTCCAGCTTGCCCTGCGTGTTGCCCCCTGGATGTCCCATACTCCCATTCAATGCTTTCAGCTTCCTGCTAAACAATTCCTCAGATGACTGCATGACGTTAGAGGAGGCCTCAAGCGATGGAATTTTCGTTTTATCGCCGATACCCACGGCTCAAGCTCATATCCTGCTTGCAGCTGTTTGGGAAAGCGAGAAATCAAGTCCCCTTATCAGTTACATTGTCATAGGTCACCCATTTGAGTCCCAGGCCAGCTATCTCAACTAGTTTCAGAGTCGTCCTAGAGGGAGTCAGCCCACATAAAGGGCCGCCCTTCACTCCAAGTCCATTTTTCTCCAGAAGTGACCGGTTTGATGAAAGACAGGCAGCATTTGGGTGTCACGGATGGCTGGAGCTTCAAGGAGCAGAAGGGGTCAGTTGAAACGGCTCTCCTTTCACAGAGCTCAGCTAATTTAGGACGACAGCTGGAGGAGAGTGATCTGTTGGGAGCAAGGAGAAAAACAAAAGCACATTAAGGCATCTCACAGAGAATGGCAGAATATGTTTATTCGGATACTCTTCCAGGATTTCAGAGAGAACAGTGGGATGTCTTTCTCACAACCTCCTTATGACCACTGAACAATGTAAGACTGTTAAATAAGTGGCAGGGTGCGTAAGGCGTAACAGGCCTGATGACTCCTTCAAGAAGGTATTCTCACAAAGAGATCTTTCAGAAATATGAACTCCTATTTCTTTTGCTTACTTTTATTGGCCAAATAGGGGTTCAAATCAGTCTTGTTAGCCATACGGAAAGATAAACCTAAGGGAACGTTCAGTGGTTTTCAAACTGGATTATGTATTAGGCGAGGAGAACAGCAAAATGTCTTTACTTTCATGCCACATTTATTCGCACTGGCGTACTGGAGCCCTCAATTGCAATGCATATATTACATGCACAACTATAAATGCATATAGCATATACTGTATATACACACATATATAGCCATGGCTTAAAGGTTCCCAGTGGGGACTCCAGCATTTGAACTTCACTTCTGCTCGGCTGTGCAGCTCACCATTTGTGGGTTGGGGAGGTGCCACTGATGACCTAAATGGGTTTTTCTTGTTCATGAATATCGTGTGCATGCCACATTAATGCATCCTTATATATGTGCTATAAAGAATCATGTAACATGACCTGACATTTCTATGAGTCCACAAAAAACCTGCTAAATCCATTATATAGCTTGACCTACAATGTAAACGCTATGATCCTTTTCCTGTACTGAACCACTAATCTTCATTCAATATTCACAACTCCTAAAAAAAAACGGGAATGAGGGGCAATATATCCCATCTTCACTGCATTCGCCATATCCCATGGTTCAGTTTGTGATGTACTGTTCATATCTGTAGGACAAACAACATCTGGAGGGGGAAAGTGGGCTGCTTCAAGAAAAAAAAAATGCTGAAACCAGCCTAAGCTGGTTGGTTGGTTTTGGCTGGTCATAGCTGATTTGTAGGCTAGTTTTAGATGGATTTTGACCACTTCTTTAGTTGGTCAGGCTGGTCAGGCAGGGAGACCAACTAAAACCAGCTTGGCCAGACTGGGAGACCAGCTAAAACAAGCTACTTCCAGCTTAAACCAGCTAAGACCAGCCAACAAGCTTAGGCTGGTTTTAGCTGTTTTTTCAGCAGGGAAGAGCACAAATTAATTCAGAGACATTATATTATTGTGGCAGAATAGACAAAAATGTCTTTAGAAGTCAAAATATTGTTTTATTTCCATATCATCTAACAAAAGCCTATCATAACTAAAACCACTTTGAAAAACATAATGGTATCCTTTGACTAGGTTCATCTTTAAGAAATATCATGGTATCACACGTTAATTTGAAGAATGACCATGGTGCATGTCCAAACGCTGGCTAAACATTTTTGTAAGCAAACTTTTCAACATTAAATTGTGCAATGTCTATGTGAATATGAGAACAGCTAAAATGAGAAAATAGCTAATGTCATTTTCTGATTGCATTGGTTTATTTGCATTGACTTTTCCTAGACGGCTTCCCCTTGGACTGTCCTTCACAACGATACAAAAGAGCAGGATTTTGGATCCCAGTGCTGTAACCTAACTAACTGATTTCACATTGAAATGCAGCAGCAGCAAAAGTGCTTCCTGAAATAACTTCATTAAATGAGACAGGCTTTTCTGAAAGGATGAGCAGGGACAAAACAGAGGAGCTCTGATTACGTAAATCCCTTTTCACATCGACACAATCATTAAGATACACACACACACACACACACACACACACACACACACACACACACACACACACACACACACACACACACAGCAGGGTCACTGAGAAAAACCGTCCTCAAAACATTCAAGGACTATTGAACTGTGACTAAAAGTGTTTCCGTCAGTATAATGAGACTCAGAATAAGCTGCTGAATTCCAATAGAAAGATTCTTCTCCAAAAGCTCTTTACAAATCTACACGCCTAAATCCAAAAGATGTCTTAACAGAGCAGTTCATCTAAGCAAACCACATGCTAAACCCTGGCAATGATTTCCAAAGGCTTTTTGTGAAGGCCTTGGTGTTAAAACACTTTCTCCTGGCAATGTTAGTCATTTAGCAGATGCTTATGTCCAAAGAAATCTAAAAATGAAAAACATCACACAAAGCAATTCATCACACAAGAGCTAATAATACACTATTGCAATGGCAAGTTTCAAGATTAAGCTACAGTAAAATTCTGTCTAAAAATATGCTGTTGATTATTTCAGTGGTTGACAAAAATATTATTAGATTTTAATATTTTACTAAAATGAATAAATAAATGTTAATTATTAACAATCTGTTAATTATTTTAATAGAAAACATAATAATATTAATATTAAAAAATAATATTTTAATATTAAATATATATATATTATTGAAAGAATAAAGAAAGAAAGAAAGAAAGAAAGAAAGAAAGAAAAACGTTAATTATGAACAAACTGACAATTATTTTAATAGACAAAAATAAATTAATATTTTAATATTGTGCAAAAATTAATATAATGAATGAATTTTGAATTAGGGATGCAGTGATATTAAAATTCTCTCCAATAACAATAAGCTATTAATTATTTTAATGGACAACACACAAAAAAAGTGTTTTAATATTGTACAAAAATAAATGAATGAATGAATGGTGTTAATTTTTAACAATAAGCTGTTATTTTAATGGCTGACATATGTAATAAAAACGTATTATATTTTAATACTGTACTTATGTGAATGAATGAATTAAATCAATAAATTAATAAATTAATGCATTATTAAATTACTAAATTAATTTAAAATAAAACATTAAAAACTAAAATCAACAGTTTTTTTTTTTTTTGGCTATAACTGAATTTAGCTATCACAATATTATAAATGTATAGCATAAAAATGAATATTCATTTTGAGATTTGCTAAAGATTACATTTAACTATTATTAAATTATTAGTGTTTTTAAATATTTAAACAATTAAATATTTAATACTGGCTGATAAACATATATCAGTATTGACCAATATTGAGATATTTATGTAAAAAAAAAAATAATAATAAAATAAATAAATAATTTTACTAGTAATGCACAAAAATCTATATATTGTGCACTACTAGTAAAATGTAAAAAAGAAGAAGAGGGTTTTTTTTTTTTTTAAATCAAGATGCATCTTCTTCAGATGAGATGGAGGTTGGAGGCTCGTTTCACCACAGAGAAACAGAGAGAGGAAAGGTTCTGGAAAGTGTAAACTCAAGCACAGAATAAACATCTGCCACACACATACACTAGACATCACGGTGGTCTCTATCTAGAACACAGACAGTGATAAATGTTCTCTATCGTGTCTTTCTCTACTGGGGCCCCTGATTGCAGCACAACTTCGTGGTCAGCAAAAAAACATCATCCCTACGGCCTTTGACCTGTGCAGGGTTTGTTTTCTGACTGGGCCTTCTGTGTGTGTGAAGGAAGCTAATGATGGGAGGTCTAACACACACACACACACACATACACAGAGGTCTTTAATGAGAAAAGCTCAGCAGTCATTATCTTTGGTCAACCTCCAAGGCCAAAGAAATGAAATTGGGGAGGTGGAGGGGGAGGATTCTGCGAGACTATTTATGGCAGTGAACTCATTTTCTGTCGCTGGCTGGGCTGGTTTCGTGTCTTTGGTGCTGTTTCGCCAGGTCTTAAAATAATCTTTTGACATGGTGGCCTGATTAGAGGCTGCGGGAGTATTAATGTGCCATCACCAGGAGAACCCGCTGCTGTCAGCCACCTTTAAAATGATACGCCGCTGACATCTGCTTCAGACGAGATCGCTGGACCCAGAGGAAAATATTAGCACACTGTTTGATATTAATTTGCCATCATATAATGCATATTTAAAGCTGAAGTTATTTTTAGTTTTATTTTTAATTTTTATTTCTGTTTACTTAACCTTATTTCCATAAAACTGTTTAAAATAAATCACATTGTAGATACTGTGGCATTGTAGCAGAAAGTTGTGCATGGGCATAACTATTATTCTTCATTTTTTGGTTTTATTTTTAATTGTAATTTTTACTATTCATTTTTTTACTTAACCTTATTTCCACATAATTACTTATAATAAATCACATTGTAGCTATTGTGGCACCATAGCAGAGAGTTGTGAATGGGCACAACTTTTATTTTTAATTTTAATTTTTTTGTTTTATTATTAATTTAAATTTTAAGTTTTTCCATTTCTATTCTAGATTTTAATTGTAACTATTAATCTTTTTTTTCATTCCTACAGAATTATAATAAATCACATCATAGATATTGTGGCACCATAAGTTGTGCATGGGGATTTTAATCTTTTTAGTTTTAGAATTAATTTTACAAATACTATTTAAATTACTGCTATTAATCATCTACTTAACCTTATTTCAATGCAATTATTTATAATAAACCATATCATAGTAGCAGTGAGTTGTGAATGGGCAAAATATTTTTTTAAATGTAATAAAATTAAAGCTAGAATTTTGATTTTTAATTATTTTTTTTACAAAAAAATCTTTCACTTAACCTTATTTCCACACAATTATTTATAATAAATCACAGGCATCATAGCAGCAAGTTGTAGTTGTGCATGGACACAACCTTTATTTTAAATTTTTAATTTGTACTATTAATCTTTTACTTAACCTTTTTCCACACAATTATTTTTAAATCACACTGTAGACACTGTGTCACCGTAGAGGCAAAGTGTGCATGGGCATAATAATAATAATAATAATATTAATAATAATAATCTAGTTTTTATTATTACAGTTGTTGTTTTTTAAGATTGCTGGTTTTCTATGGTTATAGTTTGTGTATTATTAGAAAGGTTTGTGTGGGTTTGAGCTCATAAATATTTAATTTCAGTATTTAAAAAAATGCCATATACTATACCATAGTATTTTTTATGCACTGTACTTTTGAATGCA